TTGCTTTTGCCGTCGCTTATTCATTACATATACGTGTATAAGTCCTGTCATTTTGTGGTGGCCAGGTCTTCAGCCGAGAAGCATCGAAACGCTCAGATCTAAGGACATCCGAGTCACGTGAATTCCACCTGTTAATGCGCCATTTCTTCTACGTTTGCAAACCTTATGGTTCTGTCGCCAGTTTACATCCAGCGGCCAGTCCATCTGCACAAGAAGGTAATTAAGAAACTGACTGAGGTCATTGCACTTCAGCATGCGGTACATCCTTGAAACCATCAATATGTGTACATCATGGCGCAGTTTTGCACATTTGTACAATTTTCCCCTGTATTTCTAAGTGTTAGCTTGCAGAAAGTCGGAATCCTAGTCGTTTCAAGTGCTTGTTTGGCAGATCTTAAAATTTAGATCCTGACTTTGCACGTAATGTGCGGTAGGGCTTTACTTGGGTACCATTAATTTCGATTCAAAGAGGTTATCCCCATAAAATGGTTGATAGCTCTCTAGTTAAGCTTTAAAAATGATCAATTCTTCGAGGGTTTAGTTTATATAAAAATTAAACGCCTATCAAAGACGATATAATAAACAGAAGAGACTTGACAAGTAAATTTACTTTTCCTGTTTTATTGTAAACTGACTTAAATTCGAGCATGGAACTTGACAATTATAAAACATTACATTTTGTAAATATTACCTTAACAATGTTTGTGACTCTGATTTCAGAAAACAACTATTGCTACAGAGAAAGGTGAATTTTTCTCTCTGGACTTAACTTACAACTAAATGCACCAAGTGTTTAAGTGCATAGAAAAAGTTCCATATCTGGACATAACTCGACACCCTTTGCACAAATCCTTTGAGACTTGTCTGGAAAATTGGGGTTTTTTTATTAAGGGACAAAGCAAATGGTTAACTCCCCCCCCTTTTGCTGCATGTGAAAACATAACGACATCAGAGGAGTTGGGACAGTTAGTGTTACATAATTTCCCTGCTGAATTTGACTTTTTAGGACATGTTATAACTTCAGTCTTGACGGCTAACAAACCATTGCAAGGGATTTTCACATACGGACACCACGTTGCACCCTATGCGCAAATCCTACAGAGTAGAGGTCTCAAACATTCCAAATTTTTTTCTAAGTAAACAACCTGGTTTTTCTCCATCCTAAATTGAACTTTACTGGAAAATGGTTTTGCTTTCTGATGGCTAATAGGAACTCATCCCCGGAACTCTCACCCCGGAACATAAATTGCTATCAAATTTGAAATGCATATATGTTCTGATTTTTCCAAATATTTTTAGCCAACATCGGAAGAAGGTTCTAGTCAACATTTCTGCACTTTCTCTGAACTTCTGCGATGTTAAAGCTGCAGGAGGGACCAACTGACTTATGGAGCTGCCTTGGGACATCTTGCATCATGGAGTCAACCAGCTAACATCTATGGAATCTAAGGCTGTGTGGGTC